CTCGTTTTTATTGTCTGCAAAAATTGCGCTATTAATCCCAGACAAAAAAACACAAAGAATCATAATGAAAATATTACAAAATGTAAAGCAAGCATCATAACCATTAAATAAGCCGAATAATTAAAAAAAGTTAATTAAAAACTAAAAACTTCTTTCGAAGCGATATGGAGAATATAAAATTTTCGAAAGTATTTTTACGGCGATTACTTCCAGCCAAAAAGTTATAAAAATATTTTTTCCATTATTGTAACAGCGCATAAATAACTGTCCCTTTTAGGAAAAAAAATGGTATAGCATATTTTTTTTTTTATTAACTCCTTCAACGCTCTACCAACGTTATCATTAAAACTTTGTCATAAATACGCATTCGCCCGACTGATGTAAAAAGTTTGACAATAAACCAGGCGTGTATCAAGGGAGAGGAGCGAGCGAAAAACATAGTTTGATCAAGCTCTCACCTGTTTTGTCGTCGCATCTCGAGGCGCGAAAATACGCGTCGGAAAATTAACGAATCGTGTCGCGTCGGCTGTCCCCGTCGTCCAAGCGCAAAAAATAAATAAATAAAAGAAGAAAGTAAATAAATAAAAAAATAAAGAAACGACAATTATTCGCGGATTTCGCGGTCTTCGCCTCGCGCGGACAGTTTCACGACGAGTTAATACATTTTCGGATCCGGGACCGCCGTAAATTTAACGCGTGCGACCCCACACCGCGTTCGGCGGCGGCGATAAATTGGCGGACGTTAACACCCCTGTCGGCGGAAACAGCTGCTGTGCGAATTTTTTTTTCTCCCTACGCCGCGCAATCAGCGCGCGGATCGTACGCGCGTGCGAACTGGAATCGTTCTCTCTTTTTTCTCGCTTTTCCCTTTTTTCCCGTCTGTTCGCCGCTGTCACCGCGGAAACGCGAATCCCCGTCGGCGGGGAGACCGCGCGAGATGTATGTCCGCGTTGTACGAGACGGACGCGAGATACGATTGGGAGAATTTGCGTCCCGTTTGTTAAGCGGGGGCACGTCAGACGCACGAGTGTACGCACGAGTGTGTACATATTAGAGATACTCATAAGTATCGTTTTTTCGATACGCAAAATTGTATTTTGTTGTTTAACATTTACAGTCCAGATTAATCTACAAAATAATCCCCATTGTCGATAATCTTTCTTCATCTTTCTGGCAAATTTTTAATTATCCTCTTGTAAAACGATTCGTAGCAAAGTATTCCAAATTTTAGTCCGTCGGAAAGATCGAAATCATTGTTTTTAAATTCTCTTAAATCAACGCTGGCATGTTCTGATATTCAAGGCGTTAGGATAAGGGCGGAATTTGTGGTACCATTGTTATCTTTTCGAAATTCGTATCAAGCATCAAATATACACGTCCATACTTTGGCCTTTCATTCTTAACGATACACTCAAGTTTTTTCAAAATTTTACGATAAGTACACCAAATGTCAATAAATTTAATTATTACGTAGGCTGTAATGTGTAATAATAAATCACGTTCACGAACAAGATGGTAATGTTTCAATCTGAAAAAAGCGACATTACTTATATGGGTACTATCCTAATATAATAGCTTTTTTTCAATACTACACAAGTTCCTCACTGTTCTTACGAACTGTTCCACTGTTCCTTCTTGTATGTTACGTTCGGAACAGAATTTGCGATTCGAACTGAAACTGTTTTCAGATGAACGTTGGAAGTTTAAATACTCGCGGGAGTCGTGCCAGGCGAACAACAACGACGTCAGTGATTTCTTTAACGGACATGCGGTCGAGGTCGTCGACCGAGTGATCGGTGACATGATACCGACGATACAACGAGAACGATCTCTGGGCGACAATCAACTCCAGGATGGAGACACTCGTGACGTCGCGCCCGTGAGGGAAGTTAAAGCGCCGGATGTTGAAGAGACCGATTATGGCGAAGGAGCACCGGCACGGTTTAAAGCGACCTGCACACTGGTGTCGTCGAATAACTTTCTACGTTCGCGGAAATCTAAACGCCGATGTGGACGGCCATCTCAGACATCTAGACGTTTTCAACTGTGTACACAACCTTCGAATCAGAAATTTGCATAAAGATCGAGGTTTCTTGCGTGAAATCATTCGACATGATTAATTTAATATCGTGCGACGAGTAAATCGAAAGAGAAGAGAATCGTTATAATTACAGAAATTAGTAATTACAATAATTAGTCTTAAATCAAGACAAATATGCTCATATATAAGTAAGAATATTATAATCTTCTTAAATCTTTTAATTTTGATTTCATCGAATTTGTACTGCTGCGAATGTTACTTTTGTTCAACTCAAGACTAAAAATCTTTTATATAAAATTGTAATATTCTTGCTTATATATATGAAAATATCTATATTTATATTAATGCAAA